ATTTTTCTCTCACACCAAATCAAACAATAGTACTTTCAGCCATGGCTTATCAGCCAAACAAGCCTAAACGAAGTGGGTGCAGTTTGTTCGATGGGATAAGCAGGAAACGACAGGCGTGTGCAACTGCATGCACGCCATTTTAGACTTGCAGCAGGACGCGTGCAACAGTGACATACGTACAGCTACGAACCAGACTGCGTCCAACAGTGACATGCACACACGCCGCGCAGTCCATGCACGCACGCACGCACGCGTGCCCAAGTTCTTCGCAGGCATTTCCGGCGACTGCTTCGACTAGCAATTTGCAGATGGGACTCAGGAGCACCGCGCCGCGCGTCCGCCGGGCTGGAACGGCGGCGGCGGCTCTGTCGTCTCTGTCACGGCGCGGCGCTGTGCGCCTGTGCCTTTGTGCACCCACGCCACGTACGTCCCTGTCGTCCGGCCCGTGTCTCCGACCCCGACTAGCTAGCTCAGCTAAGCTCGTGCCTGCCGATGATACAGCTAGCTGACTCTGAAAGCTACAGAGGCCGGCCGGATCGAGTCGGCCGTTGACGACGATGGATGGAAAGGCCGCGGCGTCGTCCACAAACAAACCCGGTGCGAAAAACGATCGAAATGGCCGGACCGGTCGGCGCACCGTCCGCCCGTCGATCACGGGCCGCGCCACCAGCACAGCACTGATACCAGCACTCTGGCAGGCGAGCGCACTGACGACGTCGTCCCAGAGTAGGCTGGCCGGAGCCGGAAGCCGGATATGGCTGTACGAAAGCGACGAGCACGACGTGAGAGAGAGGAATAGGGGCACATGTGCGTCGATACGTGGGTGGGGAGTGGGCACCGATCGCGGAGCAGCGAGACGTGCGGCCGGACTTCTGGAACGAGAAATTGGCGTGGCGTCAAGGAAATGATTTACGAGGCCATGCACCCAGAGTCGGGGAGGCAGGCAGGCAGAGCGCACAGAACACAGCATGGTAGACTGGTAGCTACTGCCCAGCTGAGCTGATCAGTGTGTGCATGTTAGGGTGGACCAGGCCACCCACCCCGGACATGTATGGTGGTCAATGGTGCATGGTGGGGCATGCATGGGGCCGTGCACGCACTAGCTAGAGCACCATGTCAACACAACAGATGCACACTGGCACGGCGGGAAGCCAGCCACCACCACCTCGGATTCGGAATGCTCTGCTCCAGCTCTAGCCTCTACCCTCTAGCTCATGGAAGGAAATGAACAGGGACAGTACTAGCTAGCTAGTGACAAGTGTGCAGCAGATTTTGGCCAATAGGTTTCTGTTTCTGCTCTTTCCAAGCTGGCACTTGACTACACGTCTGTGATACATACACTAGCTAGAGTGTGAAAACGAGACACGGAATAATTAGGCGCAACAATGTGTGGATGGCGACAGTACAAACAAGGTTGTCCGCTAACGTTAACTCGCAACGGGTACATGGAATGGAAGTCGAAGGGATGGCGGTTTTTTCCTGCTCTGTTTCAAGCGAGCACGTTCTCCGGAGGTGGAGAACCAACTAAGGAAAAGAGAGCGCGAGCACGCAACTTGAGTGGCTCAACAAAGCTTGGAAAGGTTCCAAAAGTATCTGCCTTTCCCGCACCAGCACCTTCTTGGCTTCTTCCCTGCCTCTGCCTCCATCGACGGGGACGGACGGCAGCAGCTATGGCTGTGCTGTGCGTAAGCATGCATTTGTGTGATCTAAAGTCAATGAAGACTTCTATTTTCTTTCTGGGATCAGCAGACCGAGGCACCATTATTAGTAAACGTTTACTAATAGTAGAGTCTAGTACTGCACGTCTGAACCCTACCTTTCACCATTTCTGCTTAGTGTTTCCTCCTTTAATTTCGTCGGAGTGGCCGGCTTCTAAAGGTAAAGAGAGAATATCCTTTGCGTTACACGGTATATACAGTGCAACACTACTCGATCGGTTCGACCTTCTGATTACAACAACCACATTCACACACTGATAATTTCTGCTTGTTGGCTATATAGTATATTATAGTGTAACTTTTTGTCCTGTTGAAGTTTGTTTTTTTAACGTCGGTAACGCCTTCTTTTAAATTTTCACATACTAGAAATTTATCACAAATTCAAAAGTAAAGTCCACTGGCAGTCGTCGTACTTGTTTGCCTATGTTATCCTAGTCCTTAAACCCGCGAATCGCTCATTTAGATCCTCAAACTTATTCATTTGTGTCATCCCGATTCCTAAACTCGTAAACGGTCCGTTTTGGTCCTCAAACTAGTTTGGCTGTGTCATCCTGATCCTTAAACATGCAAATCACCTGTTTAGGTCCTCAAACTAGCTTGTTTAGTTGTATCATCCTGGTCCCTAAACTCGCAAATAGTTCAAATCATCAACCTATGTTCGGGTCTTAGATGGGTCTAGGCCTATGTCCGTATGCAAGGACATCTCCATGGGTTCCATGGTCATATGCGTACCAACCCAAGCCTCCAGACGTGCCGGCCCCAGTTGTGTCGCTACCAACCCTAGCCGTCTCTCTCAAGCTTTGATGGTCCCGAGCCACGAGCTCACTAGAAGAGATGGAGCTCAGGGGATAGAGGGATGGAGAAGAAAGATGAAGCTGACATATGGGCTCCACATGTAAGCACACCATATCAGCATACCGGCATGGATCTAGATCCATTTAGACTGGCTCTTAGATCCGAACATACAGTGGCGGATCCAGAAACGGGCTCCGCCCCGGGCTAACTAATATAAGACTTAAAATTTTACCCCGCCCAAGTGTTCAACCAATAGACTCAAACAATACGTAGAACATTGAAGGTAGAAAAGTACCAAATTACGAGTCTTCCATAACAAAAAAAAGAACCATACATGTCTTCATGAATTAACACCACTTCCACTTGTACCGACATCCTCAATTCTACATAAAAAATTTTCAACATCTTAGCCATTTATAAAGCAAGATAACATTATGTATTGAAATAGACAAATACAAGTAAACAACACGCACCTTGAGCCCTCGTTTGGCAAATTCATCTTACGGTTTCTTAAGCCTTGAAAGCGCTTAAGAATTTTTTTCATCTTCAATCGATGCAAACAAATCCCGCTCAATATAGCACATCATGCTACTATTCAGTCTCAAATATTCAATGACAGTCATGCTCAATGAAATGAAATATTCATGACTTTGCAATGTAAAAGGTAGCAATCATGGAGCAATTTTCAAAAAGAAATGAAACTAAAGAGTAGAAATCAACCTATTTCATATTTTCATGGATCCAGCAGCCAGCAGCCAGCAGGGGGGTGGGGGTGGGCAGCAGCCAGCAGCCAGCAGGGGCCACGAGGCCAGGCCGCCAGGAGGTCGGCCAGCAGGCCGGCTCAGCACTCAGCAGCCAGCAGCAGTCCTGGCCAGCAGGGGCCAGGGGGCCAGCCAGCCGGCGGGGGCGGCGCCGCGGCGGGGGGTGACTGGGTGAGGCCGTGAGGGGCGATGGGCCGGCCGGTGTGGGCGCGGCGCGCGGCCGGCGTCGCCGCGGCGCAGGGAGGCGGACACGGGAGGGGGCAGGCGCGGCGCGCGGGCGCGCGGCCAGCGGAGGTGCAGCCGGGAGCCGGGACGCGGACGGAGGTCGCGCTAGCGCCGTCGGCCGTCGCGGGGAGCAGTCCTGGCGGCTGGCGTGGAGGCAGTGCGGAAATGGGAGGGGAGGCCGAGGCTCCGAGGCTGGAGGCTGCCCTAGTGCCTTGCCAGGCGAGGCCGCGAGCCCACGAGTGCCCTGCCAGTGCCAGTCGAGGCCGCGAGACGGGAGCCGCTGCTGCGACGGCCTGCTGGCCTTTCTCCTCCTCGCCTCCTCGGTGTGGGCTAATGGGCTGAAAGGCCTTTTTATGCCGTTTTTATAAAGCAATTCCTCACTGCTCATGGGCCTCGCCCCGGGCTGCAGCCCGGGGCCCAAATCCGCCAATGCGAACATATATTGAGAATTTGAATCGGTGATTTGCCATTCAGTAATTTGGACCTCAAGTCTCGAGGTGTTATGAGCATGCCGCCACACAAGTGAGCTTAACTCATGTTATGGTGATTTGGACATCAGGTGACATGATTAGTAAGTTTAGGAACTTATTAAATGTGTACTCTGATAGTAGTTTGGAGACCTAGATATGACACCCCGTTCCAAATTCGAGCACCGTTAATGTATGTATTTTACTCTATAGATAGATAGAAGGCCAAACCAAAACTCTGTATGTACGCGTTATGAACGTACCGTGTGGCCGACTCCATTGCGCGTCCGGCCGCAAACCGTGCGTGCTTCGACGATCGACTTGCGGCCTCCGCCTCCTTCATGGGAATGGGAGATTGGGACGAGGGGCGCCGCTTGCAGTAGCAGCTCTGGACCTCTGGCATTATAAATAGAACCGCCTCGGCGCCACCACGACCCCGAGCACCCGAGAGCCAACACAAACAAGGTCCCAGAGCGAGCAGCAGCAGCCAACCAGCCGCTCCCCCTCCTCCTTTGCTCCCCTTGGACAACGCAGCGCGTAGCTTTCGGAGGCCGACATGGGGCGTGCCCGCAGCAGCTCTCGGCCACCCGCGTCTCCTGCCCTGCTGCTCCTCCTCCTCGTCTGCTTCTCCCACGGCGCGGCGGCGGCTCGTCTCCTGCCGCTGCAGCCTGCTGTCGTTCGTCCTCTGGTTCTTCACCAAGGTACCTAGCTACCTCACTCGTCCGGCCGTGCCATGCGTACACGGCTGGTGAAGCTCTTTTCTAACCCCATCCTATCTACCAGCTGATGGCCTGCTGCTTAGTTAGCTGCCCTGATGTTCTTGTCCTTTCTGCAGCGGAGAATGGTGCCACAGGGGCAGCTGCCGACGGCGGGCTCGTGCTTCAGGAAGGTGATGAGGCCGCGGGCAATGGCGACGAGCTCTCCATCTCAGAGGTGAGAAGAAGGGAGAAGGAAAAATCCATCCCAATGAATCTACAAGTCTCGGTTAGACCTGATGTCAGCTAAAGCTAATCTTTCATGTCCTGCATCTGCAGATGATGGGAGCAGAGGAGGAGGCGGCGGCGGTTTGCGAGGGGGAGAACGACGAGTGCTTGGAGAGGCGGCTCCTCGGCGACGCGCACCTCGACTACATCTACACGCAGCACAAGGGCAAGCCGTGACCGACCGTGAGGAGGAAGACATGCATCTAGCCTTGCCGGTTTGGGTTGGGTTGGGCAGATCAGAGTGCGTACATGCATGCTGGGAAGTTGATACATCACGCTGGAAACATCATCTGGTTCTATGATACCATATTGGAATATATCTACATGCTCGTTTAATTATGTTGTTGCATGAATCCGTTTGTATTGTAAATCTGTATGTGTGTGTGTCCGATACTAATACATGGTTGCTACCTAGTACTAGTGCCAGGTCCATGCCTGTGGTAGATAGTTATATCCCGGCAGTATAAAGATTGCGCAGGTCCATGCTAGAGTAGTGGAGAGTGGTTTGGTTGTTTTCTCACTGATGTATAGGCCGGTGTGCATGCTAGCTAGCTCTACTAGTTTGATTTGGTGTGTGTGTGTGTGTGATCGAGATCAATTTGTGAACGAGCTTAATTGTGTCCGTCATCGATCCACTCCAACTTAATCAAATGGAACTTAACCTAGTGTACTACACACACTTGTACTAACTCTGAGCAAGCCTGAACGTCTGTCTCCCTGTCAGATTCTCTGATGATTTCCTACTTGTAAACAGTTTACCCTCTCTCTCTCTCTCTCTCGGCCTGCCTGCTGGATCTTGTCAATCCAAGGAAATAATAACCATTTTCTTGTTACCAGCCTTCAAGAAAACAAGCATTGTGGGTGATGTAGCCACAGTTGCTACACACAGTCTACAGTACTAAAATATGTGAGTTTACAATTTACATTACAGCTGAGCTGCTCCCCGAGATTCGACATGATGCATGGTTGGAGGGAGCTGGCTAGCAGAAGTCAACACCATGATACCATTCGGCTACACTTCCTTTTTTTCTAAAAAAAAGAAAAAAGGATGGAAACATGTCTTGGATGAGCAGAGCTGCCCCGGAAAGAGAGACAGGCAAAGATGCTCCACTGAATCAGATCAATCCCCAGTCCCCACATTCGAGCCGTGGCAATGATTCACAGGGACGGAGGACTACTTGATTGCAAACTGGTATATACTCCCTCCGTCCAAAAAAGAATATGATTATAGGATTCGAGCTCAAGTTTGATTAAATTTATAACAAATAGTATTAATTTTTATGTCTTCAAATAAATTTATTATGAAAATATATTCTATAACTAGTCTAATAATACTAATTTTGTATTACGAATGTTCGTATTTTTTAATATAATTTTGGTCAAAGTTCTCGAGAAGCGAGAATTGCAAGTGCCGTGGTATCTGTGAAAGCCATTGAACCGTTCAGTAGTCAAATCTGAAATCAAAGCGATATACTAGCAGTATATGAAAGTAAAGCACTATGCAAGTGCCATGGCTTGCCAAGGTTGACGAGCCTGTAGCAGTCAAATCTGAAATCAAAGCGATATACTAGCAGTATATGAAAGTAAAGCGATATATCGTTCACGCCTGCCTGCTGAGTTTACCTGTTTCATTGGCAGATGGTCCACTAGAATTGCTTCAGTACTACTCTGGCACTCTGCTACTGAATACTGATAATAAAAGGGAATCCAGCCAGCCATCGATCTCTTTGTTTACTTGAATTCTTGAAATGCATGCGTGAAAATTTGCTAGCTTTTTTGGTTTGTGCAGGTCGAGTGGCCAATGCCCAATAGTGCTCCGTCCATTATCTGATCAAGCTAAGCACAGTGAGTGACCCATCAGTGCTGCTACTGCAGCACTGATCTCAGGCTGTGTTTAGTTGTAGGAATCTAGATTTTGGGGCTACTGTAGTACGTTCGTTTTTATTTGATAAATAGTGTTCAAACATGGACTAATTAGGCTCAAAATATTCGTCTCTCAGTTTCCCATCAAACTGTGCAATTAGTTTTTCTTTTTGTCTATATTTAATACTCCATGCACGGGCCGCAAACATTCGATGTGACAGGTACTGTTGCAAATTTTTTGGAAGTTTGTGTGGAATTAAACAAGGCTCAGCTAGCCCCCCTGTACTGCTGCAGGCTGTTTCTGGTTCTAGTTTATTAGAGCAGGAGTGCCGCAGGGTATAGTGCGCATGCATAATGCATTTGTTGGGGTTTTATTGGTTAAAGCAGCATTGTCAGCTCACTGCACTAGCTAGCTAGATGCTATATCTATAGTACTATCATATACTCCTCCGATCCTAGGCCTTGTTTAGATTGAAGAAAATTTCAACCCGATGAATAGTAGCACTTTCGTCTTATTTGGTAAATATTGTCCAATCGTAGACCAACTAAGTTCAAAAGATTCATCTCGTGATTTCCAACTAAACTATGCAATTAGTTATTTTTTTACCTACATTTAATGTTCCATGCAAGCGGCTAAAAATTGATGTGATGGAGAAAGAGTGAAAAAACTTGGAATTTTGGAGTGATCTAAACAAGGCCCTATACGCAAATGCAACAGATGGAAACGCTGGACACTTTATTATTTGCAGTCGCTTCTTTTCCGGCAGCAGGCAGGTCGTCAATGTGAACAACCAAAGAGGTCGGCCACTTGCAAAGCTGCTAGCTGCTACTGACTATTTCGATCGTGGGAGCACTTTTTGCTGGTTTTTGGCCGCACAAACAATAATAATCCACCGTACGTCTAGGTCTGCCTATCCGATCCCGGCCGGATAGAGCGACAGATCTTGCTTGCGCACTGTGTCTATAGATCAGATCAGGTATACTCTTGTATGCGTCCGTGTCTGTTCGTGCAGGGGAAGTTCAGTTCATTTGGCCATCCTTGTTGTTGGGTACTCGTACTCCTAGCTACCGTCCTAAAGCAGGATACGATAGACAGAGTAGCTAGGTGACAGGATAAACACGCACGATGGTCAGTATGCAATTCTGTAAACAGATGGTGGTCGGCATGCGCATCAATGCATGCATGTAGGTAGTGGCAGGTCAGAACTGAGTGGCCGGCGGCCGGCCGGTCTCTCAAATGGTGGCCGGCATCTGTACATCCATCATCCAAATATCCTGTTATGCGTCGATCGGCTTGTGCAGTTCTTTGCGGCCGGGAGCGGAGGTGAGGGGCGGCTGCCGGATCCGGCGAGGGAGGGAGGGAGGAGGGGGCCAGGAGCGGAGGTGAGGGGCGGCGGCCGGAGGGGAAGAGGCCGGCCGGGAGAGGAGGGGAGGGAGGCGGCGCCGACGGGAGAGAGAGAGGGGGCGCTGGGGGCCGAGAGAGAGGGGGCGCTGGGGTTAAGTACGATTTTTTTGTTTGCCGAGTGTCCCAGATCGGGGCACTCGGCAAAGTTTATTTTTCATTTTTTTCTTCTCCTTTTTTTTGCCGAGTGTTATAGATCTGAGCACTTGGCAATGTTTTTTTAATTTTTTTCTTCTATTTCTTTTTCAGAAAAAAGATTTTATTTATTTGCCGAGTGTTTTTTTTAATAGTCGGTAACCCCTTCTTTGTCGAGTGTTTTTTTATACACTCGGCAAACCCCCTATTTGCTGAGTGTTTTTTTTGCCGAGTGTTTTTAGCGCAGCACTCGACAAAGAACTTGTTCACCGAGTGCCCGAGGGAATACACTCGGCAAATTTGAGGATTCCGGTAGTGCACTACTAAAAAATATTTTCACAACATAACATTTTCATCACTTATGATAATATATCATCGCCCGGTTTGTAACAGAACTGGTGGTGAAAATGAATTTTTATTACCACCGTTTGATCGTGACATGAGCCATTGATGAAAATGGCCCATGACCCATAAAAGCAAAATCGGCCACATGACACTCCATGCCTCATCGCAATTGCGCACTCCCTCTCTCTTCCTCCACAACAGTGGCGGAGCATGAAGGCAATTTTTTTTGCTTGTGTGCAGGGAGCATTTTTTTCGCTACCGTGCCTAGGCATGTATTCACTACCGGAAACAATGAGTTTGTCGTGTGCCATAGGCACTCGGCAAAGACCAAAAAACACTCGGCAAAAGATTTGCCGAGTGTAACACTCGACAAACAGCACATGACATCTACAGTGTCGGTGTCGGTGCCAAAAGTGACCAACACGTTCATGTTCTGACATGTCTGGAAGGTTGCAGTGCATTCTTCTGACATGGCCCTGACAGTACTGTATTGTAGGTGTGCAGGGTACGGTCCTCAGTATCGTGGTTGACATGAGAGCCCTGCCTTACTTGCTCCACCTGATTCTTTAGGTTCTTACCGAGCGGGCATCCCCGTTCGGTCGTTTCCCAGTCGGCTCCGACCGCGCTGGTCGGAGAAGAGCTGTAAGCAGAGGTTCGATGTACTTCTGGTCAGAGAGGCGGGCTGGAGTCAGAAGCGAGCGCCGTCCTCCTGGGCCAGGCCTTCTAGTCGGAGAGGCGGGCCAGAGTCGGAAGCGAGCGTCGTTCCTCCTTGGCCAGGCCTTCCGATCGGAGAGGCGGGCTAGAGTCGGAAGCGAGCGTTGTTCCTCCTTGGCCAGGCCTTTCGGTTGGAGAGGCGGGCCAGATTCAGAAGCGAGCGTCGTTCCTCCTTGGCCAGGCCTTCCGGTCGGAGACTGGATCGCCCTTCTGGCCTATCGTTAGATTTTTGTGCCGGCCTAGGAGTTGCACGTCGTTTGCAACGTCGTCTGCTAGGCTGAACTTTTGCTAGGAAGCAGGTCTATGAGGGACCTCGGGTTTATAAACCCGACAGGAGCCCCCGAGCCCTCGGGCAATTCGGGTAGAATCATTTGGGGGATTTTTGTTTTGACAGCGGGTGCGCGAGCGCACCTGCGGGTGTAGCCCCCGAGCCCCTGGGTGATTCGGGTAGAATCTTCTTGGGGGTTTTTCATTTTGCCAGGGGGGGAATTTTTGTTTTGACAGTGGGTGCGCGCGAGCGCACCCGCGGGTGTAGCCCCCGAGCCCCTAGGTGATTCAGGTAGAATCGTCTGGGGGTTTTTCGTTTTGCCAGCGGGGGAATTTTTGTTTTGACAATGGGTGCGCGCGAGTGCACCCGTGGGTGTAGCCTCTGAGCCTGCGTCCGACTGATGAGTCGGTTGGAGGCTGAGCATCTTGGTACTCTTTCCTGGGGCCACAG